CAGTCAGAGTGAGTGATGTACCTGCTGCCAGAGCGCTGATGATCATGAAGGCTTAATAGCATTAGGCCTGGCCGCCGCTCGGAGGGGGATGTCAATAAAAATTACCCACTGTGCCGGCTGTGTGTGTGTGCTCCTCCTCCGTCGGCCTTTTATCTGCGACTCTGCGACTATCGATCTACAATATCCAATCTGGAAAGCTACTTGTAATTGCTTGCTGCGGCTGCTGTGCGGATTATTATTAACTGGAATGGCTTTGCATTTGGCCAAAGTCAAAGCTGATGCTGAAGCTGAAGCTGGAGCTGGGGCCAAGGCGCAGCTCTTTAAAAAACCATTTCAACTTACAAGCTTGTTAAGCTTGCCCCAAATCTCCTTCACCATTGGGGGCATGCCGTTTAATGCAATTTCACGTCGCTTTTTATCGCCGCCTAAGTAGCCACTAAACGGCAGCTCTTTAATCTCAACGACTTGGCGCGAATTCCCAAAAAAAAAAAAGCAGGAAAAAAAGCAAAACAGGGAGTACTCTTCGAAATGAATATGAACTTTCTTCAGCCGCGGCGCGCCCACCTTGTTAAGCGCTAAGGACACGGAGGAACTGGTCTTAACGAGGCGCACACTTGCCGGAGAGCGGCTCCGATCTGCGATCGATCGATGGACCTGGGCCTGGGATTTATTTTTAGTTAACGCTAAATTGAACCGTGGCACCGCGGATCGTACAGTTTCGGTTAGTAATTGCGGATTAAATGCATCCATCGGGGGCCATCATCATCAGCGCAGCGCGCAGATCTCGCGTACGCCGGGTGAATCTGATTAAGAATATTTCAATTAGCCGGGTTATGAGCCAGGGTGCCACCTTCGAATCCATCACCAGGCAGGCAGGGCATGATCCGCCTGACTTTCCCAGTGGCGTGGAAAGAAAGAAAGTTCGCGTACTTTGTAGCCACATTTTTTGTGGCATCTTTTGATTGATTCGACGGCGGGCTGCCTTTTTGGCATGCTAATTAAGTCACTTGACCGAAGGGGCTGATGGTTGATGGTAAGATGCATAACGAGGCCCCCCCGATTAAGGGGGCGTGCTTGGGACTGGCTTTGATCTGGGTAAACGATTTTAATTGATTAACTTTCCATTTAATCCACATCCTGTTGCATGCATGTCCTTCAGCCGGCAGCCATCCATCGGCTACTGTTGCCTGCCCGATGATGATGATGATGATGATGGCGAGATGGTCGCTCCATAGTTATATATCTGTCCCCGCTGATGAGACAGAATTATGCCATAAATGCCAAGGGTAAAGCCGGTCGGAATTTAGCTTTACTAAATCGTTGCTCGGTTGCACTTTCGTTAAGCTTCCAGCTCATCTCGTAATATCCTTACACGGTAAGAAAAAACGAAAGATCTAGTTCAGGTTTGATTGAAAATATATAAGAAATCAACTAACTATTCCCTTATCAGTTTCTAAAGTTCGTACTCAGTCTTAGATGATGTCAACCAACTTGGCCACAAAAAAAAGGATCATCCAAGAGTGGGTATCACAAGCTACTCGGCTCATCCCACTTTTTCTGGCCGTGCAGCCATTGCCATGCCATAATCCAGCCGCAATCCAGGGGCAATCAAGCCATCAAAATATAGCAGCAACCGAAAACACTTTCATTAAACTAAATTTTTATTGTGGCACCGCCACCACTCCAGAGACCAAGACCGAATTTAAACTGGCGAATCGGCGTCATTTTCATTTATGGCGGGATCCCAGCAAGACGACTATAAGGCTTTGACCCAGTTTCCACTGGCCGCTATCATATTCCCTTGACGGCGGCAGTGCCAGTTGCAAGTTGCAAGTTGCAAGTTGGCTTTCAAGCAAAATTACTACAAATTACACAGTTTTCGGGGCGCAAAAGTGTGCCGCATGCGTGACAGGAGCTGAAGATGAAGCTGAAGCTGAAGCTGGAACTGTGGCCACTTTTCCTCCAGCCACAACAACATTGCAATTAAGTCGGCCGATGCAGCAGATTAAAGTAAATAATATCTGATGTCCGCTGCTGCTGCTGCCTCACAATAACTCATAAACTGTAATCACTTAGGTCGCCGTGGCAGCAGGCCGTCCGCGAAACTAGTTATCCTTATCGACGAGGTGCTCTGCAATGAGGCCCCAATATACTACGGATCGCATCGCATCGAATCGAATCGAATCGAATAACGTAACGAAGCGAAACGAAGAGGTGCCGGCCGAATCCGCAGCGAAACGCTTTTTATCGCCGTTATCCCCTTGATTTATCTCTCACTTGCAAGGGTCTCCCCTCCCCCCGACCAGGCCACACTTTTCCCGGTCATAATAAACAATTTCATAATTACAATCGGTGGGGATTAAAAAAACTAGAAAGAAAGCTATGTAGTTTCAGGAAGCCGAAGCTTGAGTTCCCTACTTTTGATCAACTTTATGTTTATTTTATTTAATTAAAACCCTAGTTCTCGTCATAAATATGTGGATATCTGGAAAACTGGCTACTTAAATACATAATTATTTATTATTTTCCTATATTTCCTATGTCCCTATATCCCGTTCCCACCTATATACTATCCATAGTTTTATTCAGATAATTTTGAAACTGAACAAACCGACTTTAGAGTGGCTCCCTTGCTCCATGGCAAACTCCTGACTTTACTTATAAAGCCCTTTGCAAGGGCATTAAAAACAAACCGATAACGAACCAGGGCTTTCTACTATATGTATTTTCCCTTCGAAATCAATCAGCTTATCTAAAATGTAATTGATCGATTCTGAGTGGCCTTAAATAATCGCCAGACAATTGGAGCGTAAGTAATATGACTTCAAAGCTGCACAAAAACAGAAAGTAGAGTAAATCTTTCAGCTTCGAATTAATTTGAAAAGGAAGTCCCTGTTTCAAAGGCAGAAAGTTAGTGAACAAAATTTACCAGGCGTTAGTGATTCCCCCTTTGCTAGGAATTATTTGATTTCCCAATTAGACAATCGGTTTCGATACTCGAAGGTTGCGACATTACTTTTCCACATAAATAACAAAGATTCTGGTCGGGATTGATCGCCGAGCTTTGCTAAATAGTTGCAGAACGTATTTACATTTAATTTGCATATTTTGAAGGAAAACAACAGCAACAACAACCGCAGCCAGCAACAACAGGGCAGACGTGCAACACCAACACAGGGCATCATACACCTGCGCGCATGCGCGAGAATAGGTACAGGCGGAAAAATGTTAGTTCAATAAGTTTAATATTATAAAGTTAATAATAATAGTATTCAATCTTAAAAAATATGACTTGAAATAGCTTGCCGAATTAAAATTAAGGGCATTATGGCCAAGCTATTTATTATTTAACATTTTAATTTCCCAAAAATTCTCAAGGATGTTTTAATTTCTAAATTTTATTATCTATAACTTATATTTTCAATCAATTTTATTAATTTCCTAATATTTTTAGCCCAAGGCTTGTACCAACATTTCCCGCTGGTCGTTGTGTCAATTAAAACAAAAGGCGAAGAGACAACAACCGCATTTTGCAGATGTGCGAAGCGACAAAGCCGTATCAAAGATTATTTCGTGTGCCTTTCGGCTTTCGACGCGACTTTTGTCTCCTTGCTGCGGGGAACTTATCGATATGCCGATAAGCGAGGGCTGTTTGCTGTTTAAATGCGTATTGATAATCATTAGTTAAGTTGTTAACTGATTCCGTTTAGAGATTTGTCAGCGGGACAACGCAGCAGCGGCCGGCTTGTGAAATATTTTAATGTGATTTATCTGCCCGACTAACACAGCAACAACAACTTGAACGAAACGAAACGAAACGAGGCAGAGGGAACATGGCGATGGCCGATTGCCAATTGCCGATTCCCGATTTCCGATCAACCATAAATCAAGCTCAGCTTTTGCCGGCTAATGAGACAGATTGGCCCATTCTCCGGGTCAAATGCCGGTGGTCCGCTGTGCTCCAGGATCTCTGGCGATCGATCCTCAAAGCAATTGCTACAAATGATATTTTATTGGTATTTGATGAGAGCATCGGCGTGCAATTGTGGGGGTCAATAAATCTAAAGACCGAGATATTGCGGTGTATCTGGCGGATACGCGCTCATTAGAGCAGCGATCTTCTTGGGGTTGTGCACAGTGAAAAACAAAATACACCTTCTACTAATTGTTTAGAATTATTATTATAATAATTCCTAATATTTATAAAACGAAATGTTTTGAAAATTTCAAATATAAAACCATTTTATGACTGATAGATCGTTGAATTACCTAATCACTTCAAAGAATTTTATCCTTATTTTTCTTAGAATTTATCAGAATGACTATTAATTTTAATTAGTTGAATAACTTTAGCGTTTTATTAAATTTTTATTAAAATTTCTAATAATATTTCACAGTGTTCAATGTTTTGGAGTCGTGACCTGGTTGGGAATTCGACCACCGGGAGAGCTCCGTGTGGGAGAGCGGTGAGTCCTAATCCCAGTTAAAGCACAAAAAATAACATCACATAAATAATACGCTCATTGAGTTCCAATTCACTTCATTTTCTGTTTGAGTTTGAGTTCCAATTTCGAGATGTTGTTTTTACCGAGCCCCTCCTCAACGTTGCTCTTTTTTTTCCACAATAAATCACGCGACAGGCCAATTAGGTCCGCACAATTTGCGATCACTGATCCCCGAGGATCTGCAAAAAAAAACGAACGAAAAAACATTGGCTCAGAGGCCTGGGCGAAGGGCAAACTCCAATTGCAACTCAATTAGGTCAGTTTGTGTGTGGAGCAGCCAGACTTAATCCCGTGCTTATTTTTTACACAAAATTGATAGTAAACGGAATGTTTATCTACAGCCCGTGCTATCTGCTTGAGTAATGAGCCGTGATTCACCAAAAGAAATCGGTCAACCGAAGAAATAATGCCTTAAAATTTATGGAAACTTGTTCTTAATTCTAGAAATTATTCTTTAATTTTATAAAAAAAAAATATAAAATATAAAACAATTACTTTTATGAGTGTGTTTTGTGGATTTATTTAAATTTCGCTTCTTTTTTAAATTAGAAAAAAAAAAATTATAAACTATTTACAGCAATTCCCACAAAGACACTAGTTCCCCAATCTCCACAGACCCCAAGCCATGACCAAGGCCAGGACCTTCCACAGACCCATTTGTTTTACAGAATCCGCCGCATTGACTGGAGCAAATCCCAGTCGCTGGTTGCCTACATCAAACTCCGTGTAGAAGAGGCCCAGGAACACATCGCCCAGAATCCAAAACTCCTGGTTAATGGACTGGATAAGCAGCTGACAAGCGCTGCCAGACTGCTCCACATAATAGCTGGCCGAGATCCTAAAGTCTACGCCTTGAATGGTGATGACCAGATCGGGCATGGATTTGGTCGAGGTGCAGTAGAACACGCCACTGGAGTCGGCCGAGAAGATGGCCGCAATGGCGGTGAACTCGGCCTGGGGAGCAATGATCAAGGAGGTGCCCGTGTCCGCAATCGCCGCATCGCCCTTGCTGATGATCGTGCTCCCGATCTTGATGGAGTTCGTGATGAACTCCCAGTAGGCCGGCTGACTCACTGGGACGTAGGTGAGGCCGCCGCTGTAGAGCGAGGGATCCGAACCGCCCAGGATAAGCTCGCCACCGTAGTTAACGGTGGAGCCGTTGTCGCGCAAATAGAAGGAGAACACGCTGTTCGCCACCAGGCTCTGGCTAATCATGTTCTGGAAGAGGGGAACAACACCGTCCGCCGCCAAAGCCGGGAAACCCATGCCCAAGATGCCATCGAACAGGGCGTCCACGAAGTTCGTTCCCACCTCGGTGTACACCTGACCAAACTTCTGGTTGGCCACCGTCAGTCCGCCCACGGAGACGGAGTCCACGGCGAGGTAGCCACTGACACTGCCAGTGCCGTAGGTGATGGAGAAGTAGGTTCCGTTGGCCTGGTACGTGCTGGAGGCGGTCTGGTTATACGTCTGATGGTCATAGCAGCCCGCGCTCGTGCAGTTCACACTTGGGATCCAGAGGTTCGAGGAGCCCGTATCGAACTGGACCATGAAGTATTGCGGCGGAGTGCCGATGCTGATGTTTCCGTAATACTGATAGTTGTCAAAGTTCGACAGCGGCTCCACCGGATAGCCGTTGGCCTTTTGGCTTAGGTTTTGGCTGTACTTTCGCTGGACCAAGTCTCTCTCCGCCGCCACGGCCTTCTGGCTGCGCTCAAAGTTCGGCGATCGGTGGATTGCAATCCGGTGCAATTTGGCCATCCTGGACGCCTCGCTGACAGCCAGGAGCAGGGTCAGGGTCAGGGCCAGGAGGGCCGCCGCCCTTGCTGTAAAGTGGGAAGACATGTCCACCGGTGCGAGTATCAAACGCGACTAACTGCCACTCCACTATCAGGGTGAGTTCTTATAAAAAAAATGTATATATATATAAATATATATATCTAGCTTACCGATAACGATAACAGCAACTTGGGTGTATAATTCTAAGGTATTTATTTAAAAATATATATGACTTTTTGACCTCACATAATAATATGATAAAACGTTATTCTTTTTATAACATAAATTATAGAAAATATGCCAGTAAAAGCTCTAAATAGTTTATCAACTTTCCCCCTTAAGATATATATTTCACAATTTCCCCTACTCACCGCGATAAGACTGTTTGTTATCAAGCTGAAAAGCGAACACGCCATGAATCAGTGTGCGTCTTAATCGATAGAAAAATCACCTTAGGTTAATCCCTGATTGTAAATTAAAGGAAATGACAACGAAGGTTTTCCTTGGATACCGAAAATGCGTCATTTGCATACTTATTTCACACTATAAATCATTCACTGGAAGTTGACTTAGTCACAGAATTCAGAATAATAATAATTTATATTATTTCATTATAGGAAATCCTTAAGAAAAGCCTTATTCAAATGAAAAACACTTCCTGTCCGGCAAAATTTGCCACGGAGTGCCTGAAAAATGTTAATTAACCTGCCTGTCATCCCGGCTGGCCAATGGAGATGTCACAGTGTCAGGCAGAGTGTATGGGAATATCCATGGACTTGGACCCACCAAGATGCACACGACGAGGATGAATGAAACAAAGAGTTATTGTTTTTAATGTATGCATAGAAAGGACCTACGACCTAGGACCTAGGACCACCGGACACACGGGCAGAGACCTATGCTCAGTGGTGACCTGGGTGTCGGCCACTTGATGAGCCGTGACCTAATGTTGCACTACACACAATGGGCCATGATAAGGCCGCTTTGTCGCCCGTGCGGCAGTGTCAACTCGGATTGGATGCGCTACCAATGGGGGATTCCATATACATACCGATCGATGCTCTGCGTGGGCGCTCAAGTCAAACAAATTGAAAATTTATCACCCGAAGCGAAAGGCACTGCACACCAAAGCCAAAAAAAAGGCATCGATGATCACTTTTGGTTGGCGCAGAAAATGCATTTTTTACACTCCCGAATGCACTGAACCATTTGCAAATTGATTTCGATCTGCCCGAGTGTCACCCGAACAATATATAGCACTAAGCTATACATATATCCAGGATCCTGGAGATCCAGAGTTGGTCTTTTTTTCTGCCTTTTAGCCTCTGCTCTTTTGGGTTCTATCCAATTTCAAAGGAGTTTCACACGCAAATGCCGCTCAAAGAAGCTTGCAGAAGTCATTGGCCCGCTGTGAACTGGGGCTACACTGAGAAAAAAAAACAGCTTTCCAAAATGGCATATTTATTAAATATTTTTCTTTGATTTATTGTGTTTTTTTTGCTATATTTTGTTTAATAATATATATAATTTCTAGAATATTTTTGGTTTCCAAAACTTTAAAGTCTCAGAAGTTTTGCACAGTGAACTCAAGTTCGCTGGCTGCGGTCGGAGATATATATCTTGGGCATGCTATATGGCCCTCGGCCCTTGGGCGCTGCGTTTTAACTTCAATTTCATTTCGCACTGATCGATTTTTGCACGCAAAGTGTGAGGGAGTCCCCCTGCCGGTATGCCTCTGTACTTAGGCATTGAATTTATTGTGCAGTCCGATCAATATTTTATTGTTTTCGCTAAAACTTCTGCACCTCCTTGGTGCGGCTCTGGGATGCGTTATCAGTTCGGAGGAACCGAGAGTCAGGCAGGCAGGCAGGCAGGCAGGCTTCTTCAAAGCGCCAAAGGGGGAGTTCCTTATTCTTTAACCTTATTTATTTTCCCTGACTCTGGCTCTGTCTCTGGCCTGTATCCATATCGGTTTCAGTTTCGGCCACATGCAAAACAATAATCGATGCCGGAGACTCGGAGTTCCATTCCATTTAAAAACGTGTTAAAGAGTGCCTCGAAATCGGTGGTGCAGGGGAACGGGGGGCTAGGATCACGCCCACACTTATTTGCACCGCCCTGGCTTATTTGATTTTGGATGCGTTCATATTCCGCGCCCCGCGGCTGCACTTCATCCTCCGCCGCGAATTTATGATGTGATTTCGATCATTTGACATAATCTATTTAGCGTCTGCTCTCGTGCTCCTCGGAGCTGGAGATCCTGCTCCTCCCTGCCCCTCCCGCATTGGGGGCATAATTTGTAATGAGATAATTTTATTTGCTTTGCCCAATGACTTGTGCCTGGGTTTCTTTCTGGGATAAAATCCGTGCTTCAAGGAGGGCGGTGGCGATGGATCCGAGGAGATATGCAAGTTGGTTGCTTATTTATGGTTGCTTTACTTCCTCAAACCCATTGGGGGAGGAATCAAATGTATATGTTTCTAGGGAAATTGATACTTTGGAGATTGATACCTGAATAAAGCCTTTGAAATCAAAGGCAGAAACTATGTAGAGGAACTTCTTCGAAATAATTCCTTGTGAGTCATCCTCCTGGCAATTAGTAAACTCTCTCTCTTCGTATCTGGAGAAATTTGTTCAACCCGGATAAGGGACACACGCAACCTGCAGCCAAGCCATAACTTTCGCCCAAGTGATCCTATCGGCCTCGCATTTAATAGAATCCGAAGGACTCTCGCAGGAAGCTGCGCTTACATTTTACGACCATAACGAATGTCTCCCGATTTAATGACTTTCACCTACCGCGGTGACAACTCTTGGGCCCTTAACCCTTGCGGGAATGCGGCTACTAATTGCTAATACGGTAGCCACCAAAACCAGGGAAAACGAAAAAAAAAAAGGGACACGCGCTCGGCTCGAGAGCGATCTGTATCGGCGGCTGGGACCTACTAATTAAGGACCTCGGCGGGACCCACCGCACACAGCTCTCAGCCACTTTTCTTGCCCGATGTAAGTTAGTTTTTCCATAAAAACAATGAGAAATGTTGGAGGAAAATGCCAAAGAAATAAGAAGGAACTCTAAATTAGAGTCTTGTAATAAAATTAATAAATTTTATAATGTTTACAAGAACTAAGATGGAAAATTAAAATAATATTATTAAAATAATATAAAAATTATATTCGATTTGTTTAAAAAACTACCATTTAAAAACATTGATTTAAAGAAATCGTATATTTCCGGCCTTCATTTATGATTTTAGTCAGTGAAGGAGTCGTTTTCGACCTTATAAATCATATATATTCTTGATCAGCATCAAAAACCGAATCGATCTAGGCATGTTTGGAAGAAAAACAAATTTTTTTAATTTTTCAACATATTTTAAGGAATTAAAAATAAAAATAGTCACCAAAGAAAATTGAGAAAAAATTCGATTTCTTAAAATGTAAAATTCAGTATGCAGATTAGTTAACCTAGAAAAAACTAGCACAGAAAAGCTTTCCGAATTGAATTTAATGCTTTTTTGGCTGAGTTATGAGTTTTTTTTATTAAAAAAGTATTTATTTATATATATAATATATTATTATAATATTTTAGATATTCTTAAGGGGTTTTATGATTTTTATCAGCGAAGGACTCATTTCCGACCCCATAAATCATATATATTCTTGATCAGCACAAAAAACCAAATCGATCTAACTATTCCCGGAAGAAAAAATGTTTTGCAATTTTTTTCGATTTTTTAAGGGCTTAAAATTGTTAAACAATTCCCCAAAAAAAATGAAAAAAATTTAGATATCTTAAAATGTAAAATTCAGTATGCAGATTTGTTAACCTAGAAAAAACTAGCACAGAAAAGCTTTCCGAATTGAATTTAATGCTTTTTTGACCGAGTTGTGGTAGATTATTGCCAGCTAATATCTCATATAACATTTCCCTCAGTGTACACTGGACTGCCAACATTGTTTTCAAGCATTTTTTGGGCAAATGAAATGTTTGATGGCTTACAATGTGGGTCAGAAGAGCCGAAAAGTCCAGTTAATGCCAGTGCTGATAGTTACTAATTGTTTGTTATTAGCGTGCGGTTCTGTAACTGTTTTTTTTTTCAGCCGAACTTTATCCCGGCGATCGTAGCTGGATTACGCCCCAGAAGTCCACCAGTCCGCCAGCGAGCCCATTGATCGCAATCAAGAAGGAGTCGCGCGGTGAAGCCTTGGCCAAGTCTGGAGCAGAAGCTGGAGCAGGTTGATCGATAGCCATCACTGGTCGCGATCTCCGATGGTCAACTTGTTTTTACTTTTTGCCCTCGTAAAAGGTATATAACCATTGCGGTAAGGCAAAAGACATACATATAAGTCGCTTTAAAAATCGATGGAAGAGAACTTCGAAGAGGCTTTTGAACTCCTTTAAGATACCTTAACAATCTACAAGATACTTTTAGTTTAGTTTTGTGTTTTGATTATTCAAAGAGTATTCAAATCTTCGAACTGTTTCACTTTCAGTCTGTTTTTTTTTCTTTTTCTTGTTTTAATTTTTTATCTTTTTCCCCATTTCGTTTTCATTTTCTTTCCTTTTGCATAAAACGCGCCTCATTTGCTTTACATGCCAGCGAATTGAGTGGATTTTTTGAGGGGAGCTGTCAGCGGAGGACCACCCAAGTGGCCAGCAGGGAGAGAGTGGCCAAGGAGCTGCTGCTGCTGCACTGCCTCTTGGCGGCATTCATTTTGGGGCTGCGCAAATTAGAAAAATGTTGCACGAAAATCAATAAAAGGCTAATGGGATGGTCCAAATTGCAAAAGCCACCTTCCACCGGGGCGGCTGATGACTGATGGCAACAATGTGCAGATAATTGTGAGTGCAGAGAGTGGAAATGATTGGGGCAGCCAAAGTACCCCTCACCTCCAGTCCCGGTTCTGGCCTGGTTAAGTGATCGTTTAGCGATCATTTGGCTTGGCCTCGTAAATGAATGCAAAAATGCTCATTGCCATTAAGTAATAAAAGGGGAGGGATTGTGGAAATGAGGAGGAGACCACATCGGTGATCAGTGATCGGTGATCGGTGATGCCATTATTGATATTTTTTTATCCACA